TCTTCTTTTTTTCTTTCGTTTCTTCCTTCGTGACTTCCGCAAACGTTAACCGTCATTTCATCCACTGTCCATGCGCCAACGTGATCACGTACGATTAAAAAAAAAGTGTGTGTGTATGTCCTTGTCCTCACCGTATGTATCCACATAAACAACTTAATGTGAGAAGTAACGGGAAAAAAAATAGCATTGAAAAAACTCGTTGCTCACATATACTGCTTCACGTGTCGCTTTCGCAGATAGTTTTGCGCGCGCACGAACGCGGAAGATCGTTGATTTTACGATCGGATTCTACGGATTTCACGGTGTGATCTCTCCAGTGCTGATACGTTTACGCAGTCAGGTAATGTAAATGTTCTGAGAACAACAAGTTTTAATAATTACATTTTGTACAAGCTATTATATTATAAGTTATTACTATATATATAATAGAGCTGATAATTTAAAGTATTGGCTCTCTCATAAAAAAAAGATAATAAATATTTCTCATGTTACATTGCACATTTTCGACGCATGAAGATTATATTTTCATTGAAAATATGTATAAAATATTAAGTATTTATCTCATACTCTTTATACAATTTATATATACACAAAGTATTTTTAAATATTTTTGTATAAATTTTTATATTGTGCCGTCTATATCTCTCACTGTTTTTCTCTCTCGCTTTTTCTTTGATAGCTATATATTTATTATTAGTTACTTAGGCTTTGTTCACAGAGAATGAAAGGGATTCTTAAGTTTAAAGAATTTCTAATTACAAGTATATCTCTCTCGGTATTCGTATATTTAATGATATTGTTGCAGAATGTATCGCGCATTACTTTTTCTCATCTTCATTTACGGGAATATTCGTGGAATGCAATTCCATACCAAAGAAGATGTACCTCGTTTGTATCATCCGCGCTTCTTAATGTATGAGGAACCGTATAACATCGAATTCAAGTACCACAATTACGAACAGATGAGCCGCTTTCTTCGCGCGACGTCCCTTCGATTTCAAAATCTCACTGCGCTGTATTCAATAGGAAAGTCGGTGAAAGGTATATTATCTTCTTACAATGCTAATTGAGATCACAATAAATAGCGTATTCTGAAAGAGGACGCTGTCTCATTTGGTTTATACATTTTAACATTCAAGTAACAATATTAATGTAGAGAAGAAATTAAATACAATATATATTTAAAAAACATAAACAAATGACTAATAGGCAATTGGCATAGTGAACGATGCTCAAGCTCTAAAAAATGCATTAGCTTTAAAAAATTTTATCTTATACGTGCCAGTTGAATTTCAACATTCGCGCTGACTGATATGTTCCTCGTATCTTAATTATTTTAATTAATTCGGATAGTAGCGTAAAATATCATTTTTTATATTTTTTAAATATTTTACTCAGTGACTATGTTTCCTTTTATTACAATATTACTACCTTGATAGAAATATACGAGGATTATGTTTAGAAGTCCACATCACTATGGGGTAAACCCTCGTTTTCTCAATTAAATTTCTCACCTACTTCATTAAATGCATTGTAATTTAAAGATTTTAGTCATTTTTAACTATTCAGCCTTGTAACTGGTGAGATCTTTAATGGAGGAATGATTTACCGCACTGTGATTACGACCGGATTAACGTCACTTATTGTAATAACTCATTTATTTAACTACAACTACATGGATTGTTGTTAAGAGTTTCAATTTTGCTGAAGAAGGCTAAAATCGTAAACATGTACACTTAATCATTTTTATTTAAAATATTATTATATAAAATAAATTTTTTTAGAGCTAATTACACACCGTTTACTGTACCAATTTCTAATTGCCGGTTTGTTGTTTATTTAAATTTTTTTAATTTATCATCTCGGGAATTTTGATATTGTTACCTTTGAAATATACTCGTATATGTTGTAATCAAACGTTACTCATGCGATAGGTCGAGATTTATGGGTAATGGTCGTTTCGTCCTCACCTTACGAGCACATGATCGGAAAACCTGATGTAAAGTATATCGCTAACATACATGGAAACGAAGCTGTGGGACGCGAATTAATGCTACATCTTATTCACGTACGTAATTATGTCAAGCATTGAAATTTCCATGTCATGTTATTCGCAATGATGAATAACACATGCGTGTATGTTACAATTCTTACAATTTGACTCACCGCGTATACATCGCTTGAAGAAAAGAAATTTATTCGGATAAGAGATTTTATCTAGTCAAATAATTGCAAATGACAATAATTCGTAATTATAAATTAATATCGATTGATATTAACTGATGGACGTTAAATCAATGTGAATAATAATATTAATATTAATAATTCATTTACGTTTGACAAATGGCGCATATATTCCAGTAAATACCAAATTACATGTAACGTATACGGTGGTTGTAATTTCCCATTCAACAATATAACTGTAATATAACACACGTAATGTAACACATGTTATATTGCAGTTACATTGTTGAATGGGAAATTACAACTACCGTATACGTTACATGTAATTTGGTATTTGCTGGGATGTTTCTTACAAATATATCCCTTTTTTTTTCCTTCTAGTTTCTCGTGACATCGTACGGATCAGACGCATATATTACATGGTTATTGGACAATACAAGAATTCATATTTTGCCGTCAATGAATCCTGACGGTTTCGAAGTCTCTAAAGAGGGACGTTGTGATGGTGGTCAAGGCAGGTTAGATATTGATATAAATGATTTATATTTATTTAACTTATTTTTTTATCATTTCTATTTTTCCAATCAGGTTGCGCTAATCAGCGATGAAATTTTTAGTTCAAACCTAATTGTCTAACGTTGAACACGTTGAGACAATCTTTTTTGATATTCCTTTCAAAGGGACTTTCTTTCGATTTAAACGTAAAATTAAAAGGTTTGCGCTTAATGTTTCAAAGTAGCTATAGACCGAATATACTTAAATGAATAATCGTCAGGAGCACTGACAAATACGTCGTTAAATACTTCTGTTTTTGCTAAAGGAAATATATCTTGAAGCGTCTAAATACGCTTTGCGATATAATCCTTTTATAAGTCTTTTAATCGCTTTGCGCAAAACAAATTAATTAGCTTCTAATTCTCATCTTTACGATGTATGATTAAACAGGTATAACGCGCGCGGCTTTGACCTAAACCGTAATTTCCCGGACTATTTTAAGCAAAACAATAAAAAGAGCCAGCCGGAGACCGAAGCCGTTAAAGAATGGGTCTCGAAGATTCAGTTCGTGCTCTCGGGCAGTCTGCACGGTGGTGCGCTCGTGGCCAGTTATCCCTTCGACAATACCCCAAATTCGCGTAAGTTAAATCACCTTGGTTCAGTTACCGTTTCGCACGCGGAGCTAAAATCGTTAAAAGGCGGGCAGCGTGGCTCGCTCGATCGTCCTCGATCCGACTCCGAGCCACGGAATCACACAGAGTCGTAACACTCCGCTCTGTTGTATCACGACCGTCCTCTTTGCGAGATGTGATTCTGAAAAAAAAAAAAACGAACAAAGACAAAAAATAGGAAAAGGAAAGAACAGCATTACTATTTTTTGGATGCAATCCTTTCAGCGTTTCGACTGGCTCGATTTCAAATTTGTTCCATTTGTATTAAACAATTGCAATTAACGGACAGATTATAGACAACTATATGAATATATAAATGGCTGTAAAATTATTATGATATATTATGTAAATTTTCATGCTATCAGGAATATGTCGATCGGCGCCACTATGTGCAGGTATTGTGCAATATGTATATGATTATCTTTTATTATTAGCATAAGCGACTTTATTTACTTTATCATTTACTTGCAAAATGTTAGAAATATTTCAAAAAGTACGAAGTTACTTTTGATTGATTTGAATGTAATATTGAAAAGAAGATAAAAAATGAAAGTTTACGACTTCTTACGAAAATTATGTTAAGAAAATAACTGCTATTTAACTGTATTAGTGAACTATATTAGTGAAGTATGAAAATGAAAAGATTTGAATGCACAATTAAACATGACACGAAACGCATATCTTATACAATTTTGCTCTGAACAAAAAAAAAAAGAGAAAAAGAAAAAAAGCTAAAAGGAAAAAGATGATAAAGTTATAGATGCTTCGACATTTTCATTGAGAAATCAGAACCAAAGATTTAAAAAGAATGTCTAGTGGACATTCTGAGATAACTTGCAGATTACAAATCATCTTCTTTTCTATCTATATTGGACATATAGTCCACCGTTTAAAATGCTGTAAAAACAGTATGATATAGAGAGAATAGTGTTTCAGAGTTTCACGTCGACGCCGAGCGTCTCGCCGGATGACGACGTATTTCAACATTTATCGTTGACGTATTCTCGAAATCACGGATCTATGTATCAGGGATTACCCTGTTCTCCGTCTCAGCCTGCATTTAAACGTGGAATTACTAATGGCGCCGAATGGTATCCGCTTACCGGTGGAATGCAAGATTTCAACTACGTGTGGAACGGCTGTATGGAGATCACCTTGGAACTTTCTTGCTGCAAATATCCACCAGCTGCGGATCTACCACATTATTGGACGGAAAATCGAGTGGTGAGTGGCTTTTGTAGAGTGATGGAAAATAAATCATGTATATAGCTTAATGAGAGAGAAAGACAGAAAAAAGAATAACACAGATTCGATTCGATATCAAATTTTTAATCTTATTGCATATATTCTAAAAAATATCGGTGTGAATTTAACGACACTTCTAGTGTGGATTTAAGACTTATGCAGTGTCTACAATTTTCACTGTGCTGGTATTAGTATTATCACCAACATGAAGTGGATTTCAAACCTCTGGTTTATATCAACACCATCATATGGATTTAAAACCCTGGTGTTAAATCCACATCATATTGGTGTTAATATTAGGTAACATCAACACAGTGAAAATTATATAGACACCGCTATTTTTCAGTGTTTTCTCTATTTTGCAATCAAATACGCGTTCTATTCTTCTTTATAAAAATAATAATATACATTTATTATTCTTTTATTATCTTTTTAGTCTTTAATCCAATTTCTGGCGGAAGCTCACAGAGGTGTTCATGGTTTTGTTATCGATGAAAATGGTAATCCTATCGAAAGGGCTTCCGTTAAAGTGAAATCACGAGATGTTAGTTTCTCAACAACGAAATATGGTGAATTTTGGAGAATTCTTTTGCCTGGTGTTTACAAGTTAGAGGTACGTTACGAAATAATCTGTTGGATACAATCATTCTTTTATTGTATTGTCTTACGTTACAAGAATGTCAAAATTATGATAAAATAAGAAACTTATAAAATAAGACATTATGCTATTTAAGTATTTATCCACGTTATATCATAAATCTGATCCAGTAAGAAATGACAATGAAATCGATGTCGATTCAATGTCAATTCCATTACCATTTCTTATTGATGTTTCTTATTCATGTTTTTGTCAGGTATTTTCGAATGGTTATGTACCTCGTGAAGTTGAATTTATAGTAATCGAACAACATCCGACGCTTCTCAATGTTACCCTTTACTCGGTAAAAGTAAGTAATGCTATTAATTAAAAGATCTACATTTTTATTCGTGTATTTTGATTAACTATTTTTTATTAATTTAGTTAAATATATATATATACATACTTTTTATTTGTTATGTTTAAAAAAAGGGAGAAGAATTGGCTATACAAAATAGTCCAAAAAAATCTATTGCTACATTCGATACTTTATATGTTTTAATTATTCTTACATCTTAACATATATTAAAATTTATTATACCTGAAACAGAGACAATACGACGACGAAAATGGATCTGTTTTATATAACGGAAACATTGGTGGGAGGCCTTATCCACACCGCGACCATACGTTACATTATCGACCCCAATCAGGAATTAATACTGCGGCTGACGCCAACAACGGTATCTTCTCATCTATCAGTAACGGATTTAACAACTTTGTGACCAATCTCTTTGGATAATCTTGTGAACACATATACAAATAATATTATTTATTTATTCTATATTATTGTATAAAGTAAAATAAAACGTTAAACTTAGTCTGTCAATATTTGATAGATAATTAATGCAAAGAAATCATAATCCGATTAATCGGCAAAATACTGCCAAATAATACTGCAACCTAAGTTATTTCATATTAAGTTTAATATCTCTACGCTATAAAATATTTATGTATTCGCCAGGAATGTATATTAAGAAATGTACTTTTATTCTATTTATAAATATATATAAATGCACAACTATATTTTTATTTAAATATTTTGTAGAAGAAAATAGTTAATATAATTAAATCCCTTATTCTATTTTTCTAATAAACTTGTTATTTATTATTAAATTTTATATCTTTTGTTTACAGTGAATGATCTTAAAATACAGTTGTCAAAAAAAAAGGAATATATATTGTTATTTTTTGAAATGCGTAATTGTTTGTATAACAGCTGCAATCCATATTGCTGCGGCATAAGCTCCAGCATCCATTTCCGTTAAATACTGAGATTGTTTTATATAACTAGCTCGTCCCGCTCTGTAAACAAATGAATCGTTGTGTTAATATTTACAGAAAGTTTAGTATGAAAAAGTGACTAAATTAAAAATATTTTACAAAAATTTATATAGTTTTAAGTTAGATTTCTTTAATTTTAAAAAAATATATATGTATTTTACACACACACACACACACACACACACACAGCATTCATATCTACTCACTTTGGTTTCATATTTCTCGTAGAATAGCATCCTTCCCATGCTGCTGCGGCTATTTTCTCGTAAAAATCACTAGGACACTCCTTTAACAATTTTTCATACGTCGTATACACCGCATACATTGTGTCGATCTAAAAATATTAATTGGCAAAAATATTAATTGAAAATTCTCTTACATTTTTAATACAAGTCCTATGTCTATTTCACAATAATAAATTTAATTTTTTTGCAACAAGTGATAACATGGCGAACAAGTTTTAATACTATAAAAAACCTTTCTGTTCATTTATGATAGTATCATTAATAATACACTAATAATATTTTATTTAATTAATATATACTAATAATATTTTTTAATAATATACATATATATGTGCGAACCATAGTCCTGTCGCCAACTTTCGCTCTTCCGTATTTCTCTAAACAATTTAATCCGCTGCGAAATGCGCAAAGCCAAACATTTCGCATATCCTTCTCCTGCTTGAATGACGCCAACATTTTCGCGCCAGTGGTAAAAAATAAACAATATAGAGCTCCAGAAGTTCCGCCCATACATTCTTCCGCGATATTCGCTATTTCCAACAATAACGCTGCTGGATGCGACAAGGATAAACTTTCTAAATTATTTAAAATACCTATAGAATGTAAAGAAAAAGGTAGAATTAGTAAAATCTTGTTGAACATTAAGAGACATATAGATACATTGTAATTCGTATACGCGTACCGTTGGCAAATCGTTTCAATGTCGATCCGCAATCTCCATCTCCGCAACCACGGTCTAACTCATTAAGATACGCTTCTTTCTCGATAACAGTCACACAAGCGTTTTTTAAACATAATTTAATCAGGCGCTGATTGTCCACATTTAATAATATTCCTATTTTCTCTACTTTTTCTTTTTTCGCATCTTTCAATGGAGTGCTCAATGGAGTTGAAGTCGAAGGAATGCTGTAAGTGCAGCCTGGCCAACACGGTGCTGTTGTTTTTTCGTCAAGACAATCGATGAATACGTCCCCATGATTTTCGGTCAATTTTAACAAACTTATGTGTATCCCGACGCTATTTAAGGATGTCATTAAAACACCTGAGTAGACGCGAACAGGCTGTATGCCTGTCTTTTCTTTAAGAAAAATCAACATAAGATCATAATAAATGTAGTACAATGAGATAAATTAAAAATTGACAGGAAGAAATTACTTATGATGTGCTAATTATTTCACGCAAAAATAAGAAAAGCCATTAATATAATAGACTAAACTTTACCAGACATCCTCGTATTCCGGGAACACAATCCGAGAAAAAATGTTTTATGTATAATTATATAAAATTATATAAAATTACCTAAAATTATATATAATTTTATATAATT